ATGAGAAACTAATTTGCTCTGTAAACCTTCTTCTAAAGCACCAAAAAAAACAAAAAAACAAAACAAAAAAAAAAACCACCCTCAGGGGACAATTTCGGTTTAAAGTTTAAAGCTTAAAGATTATCTCAGAGCAATAGTTTCAAGGGTTCTGTTCTGCATTTCCCCCTTTTGACCAGGATTCTTTTATAGAATCTTTGATCAAAACATTCAGTAATGGTAGCCAGGCACCATCTGGTTCTTCTGGTCTCATGGCAAAGGAGGCAGTTGTTCATGGAGGCAACCCTACACACATTCCATTCCCTCCTCTGATTCCTGACTCTCCTTCTTCTTATTATGCTCCACCTGAATGGAGACCATTTGTTGTTCGTTGGGTCACCATTGGCAAGCTTTTAAGACCCCAGGCACTACACAATGAACTAGGAGGTAGAACAGAAGTACTGACAATAATATCAGGCCAATCAACTGGGATAACCCATGACACCATGACCCTATGTGAAGGTTGTTGTTGTGTGTTGTTAGGTGCCTTGGAGTCAGCTCCAACTTATAGGGACCCTATGTACAACAGAACAAAACACTACCTGGTCCTGTGCCATCCTCACAATTGTTATATTTGAGCTCATTGTTGTAGCCATTGTGTCAATCCATCTCATTGAGGGTCTTCCTGTTTTTCATTGACCCTCTAATTTACCAAGCATGTTGTATTTCTCCAGGGACTGATCCCTCCTGATAACATATTCAAAGTATGTGAGATGTAGTCCTGCGGTCCTTGCTTGTAAGGAGCATTCTGGGTGCTAACAATTCCTTTTTAGCTGAAAATTAAGCCATACTCAAGAAGAAATGGAGGCACGATAACAAACTCAAAATGGATTAAGAAGCTAAATGTGCTAGCTAAAATCATAAAATTCTTAGAAGAAAAAGCAGGGGCAATGCTGTTGGGCCTAGCTTCTAACAGCGGATTATTAAATATAATAAAAGCACAAACAGCAACAGACAAAACAAATACATGGAACCTCATAAAAACTAAAAACTTTTGTTCATCAAAAAACTTTACCAAAAGAGTGAAAAGACAAGCTACTGACTGGGAGAGTATCTTTGGAAACCATATATCCGACAAGAATCTAATAATCAAAATATATATAAACCTTTAACAACTTAACAAGAAAAAGACAAATAACCCAATCATAAAATGGGTAAAGGACTTGAATAGACATTACCAAAAAGGACATTCAAATGGGCACCAAGCACATGCAAAGATGCTCATTGTCATTAGCCACCAGAGAGATGCAAATCAAAACCACAATGAAATACCATTTCACTCCCACTAGGATGGCTCAGGAAACTCTGGTGGCATAGTGGTTAAGAGCTACGGCTGCTAACTAAAAGGCCAGCAGTTTGAATCCACCACACACTCCTTCGAAACCCTATGGGGCAGTTCTACTCTGTCCTACAGGGTCACTATGAGTTGGAATCGACTCGATGGCAATGGGTTTGGTTTTTTTTTTTTTTTTTTTTTTTTTTTGGTTTAGGATGGCTAAGATAAAACAAACAAACAGAAAATAACAAATGTTGGTGAGGATGTGGGGAAATTAGAACCCTTACCCATTGTTAGTAGGAATGCAAAATGGTATGTGTGGAAAACGGTATGGTGGTTCCTCAAAAAACTAAATATAAAACTACCATATGACCCAGCAATTCTACTCCTAGGTGTATACCCAAAAGACTTGAAAGTAGAGACTCAAACAGAGACTTGTACACTAATGTTCATTACAACACTATTCACAATAGTCAAAAGTAGGAACAACATAAGTGCCCATCAACAGATGAATGGATAAACAAAATGTGATACATACAGTCATGGTCTGAATTATGTCCCCCCAAAAATGTGTGTATCAATTTGGCTGGGCCATGATTCTCAGAAGTGTGGTTGGCCTCCATTTTGTGACTGTAATTTTATGTTAAAGAGGATTAGGGTGGGATTGTAACACCACCTTTACCCAGGTCACATCCCTGATCCAATGTAAAGGGAGTTTCCCTGGGGTGTGGCCTGCACCATCTTTTATCTCTCAAGAGATAAAAGGAAAGGGAAGCAAGCAGAGAGTTGGGGACCTCATACCATTAAGAAAGCCGTGCCGGGAGCAGAGAGCGTCCTTTGGACCGGGGTCCCCGTGCAGAGAAGCTCCTAGTCCGGGGGAACACCGAAGAGAAGAAGGCTGACAGAGAAAGCCTTCCCCTGATGCTGACGCCCTGAATTTGGACTTTTAGCCTACTTTACTGTGAAGAAATAAATTTCTCTTTGTTAAAACCATCCACTTGTGGTATTTCTGTTATAGCAGCACTAGATAACTAAGATGCATTGATACAATGGAATACTACTCAGCCAATAGGAGAAATGATATCTTAACACATGGATGGAGCTGGAAGACATTATGTTGAGTGAAATAAGTCAATCACAAAAGGACAAATATTATATGACCTCACTTATATACAAAGACAAGAGAAGGCAAACTTATAGACAACAAAGTTTATTAGTGATTACCAGAGTGGAACGGAGGGGGAAAAATGTGCGGTTAACGGTGATGGAAATATCACATTGATTAAGGGTATGGTTGCACAGCCAATTATCATAATTGCTGTCAATAAACTGTACACCTGTAAGAAGTTGAATTGGCAAAAGTTGTATGATAGATATATTTACAACAACGACCAAAAAAAAAAAAAAAAGGTAGCTGCTGAGGCTACTTACAGACATCCAAAAACCTCACAGAATTTGTTTCCTTGTTTTGGAGTTTTAGGGTCATGGTTTCATGGGACATCCCAGTTAATTGGCCTAATATGTTTAGTGCTTCTGTCCTACCTCCTAGTTCAGTGTGTAGTGCCTGGTGTCTTAAAAGCTTGGAAGTGACCATCCAAGGCACAAGAATTGGTCTCTATTCATCTGGAGTAACAGAAGGAGAGTCAGGAATAGGAGGATGTGGAATGTGTGGCTAATTGCCTCCATGAACAACTGCCTTCTTTGCCATGAGACCAGAACTGAATGGTGCTGGATGTTCAGACCATTATTGAATAGTCTGATGTTCCATAGAAGAATTCTGAGTAAAAGGGGGAAAATGCAGAACAGAATGTCAAATTCCATGGATTCTAGACTTCTGGAGCCATGAAGGTTGGATAAACCCATGAAACTACTGCCCTGAGATAATCTTTAAACCTTAAACCAAAAAATATCCCCTAAAGTCTTCTTAAAACCAAACAATAGTTTAGGTTAACATAGTAAAAAATGTCTGCCTTGAGCTGTATGCTTTTTAACAACTATCTAGAGGAGATCAAAGGGATAACAGTAACTCAAAAGATTAGACAGGAAGCTTAGGGGATATTGAATTTATGTTAACAGTTTTTGATGCTTTGTTGTACATGACTTTATGTGGTTTTCCTTTTTCTCATTTGAGTCTCTTACCCAACTAGATTAAGAACTCTGGAGGTCAGAGATTATTTCTCGTCGGCATAGTGTTTTTAAAATTTTAAATCTCAAATATAGAGCGATTCACAAAAATGAGCGAATAGTAAATTTCGGTTTTTCAGGATGGATGGAGGAAAGACATGAGGTGGGACGGTCACGTTGTCAAAAAATCTCGGGGAACATGTTAATTAAAAATGCCATTGACCCTTGGTGCCTGAGAATCTTTCACTTTTTTTTCGTGCCTCTGGTTTGACTGGAGCCCTGGTGGCGCAGTGGTTAAGAGCTTGACTGCTAACTAAAAGGTTGACAGTTTGAATCCACCAGCTGTTCCTTGGAAACGGTATGGGGCAGTTCTACTCTGTTCTACAGGGTCGCAATGAGTCTGAAGCAACTGGATGGGTGTTTGGTTTGGTTTGCTTTGTATAGGACAAGGTAGAGCCACCACCACAGAGCAGCAAAGAGGGTGATAATGGTTGTAGAACTGGAAGAATGTAATCAGTGTCACTAAATGGTACACGTAGAAACTTGAATTGGTGCATGTTTTGCTGTGAATATTCTCAACAACAATAAAATAAAATTATGTTAAAAAAAAAAAGACGACATGGAGAAACCTCCTAACCGAGTAGCCCATGCTCCATCCCCTTCCTCCAAGCGCTCTTCAAACAACTCCAAGTTTGCCCACCAGCCCAACTGCAACTCCCAGAGGGACCTCTCGCGTCGCCAGGCGCATGTGCGCCCGCGTGACACAGAGCGGCGAGCCCACGATACTCGCTGCTTTCCTCACACTGTGTTTTTCACACGAGTTTGGGTGCTGTGACCTGCGTTCTTCCGCTCCCAGGCCCTGGTTTGGAGAGCGGCGTCCGGGTGTGATTTCAGGTGACTGACTTCCGGTTCGGTCGTGGCGCCCCGGCGCCCCGCAACACCTGGGCTGGAAGCCCAGGCGTCCGGCCCAAGCCCCTCGGACTGTACCCTCCAGCGTGCCTCACCCCCTATCCCCTCGCGGCCCGCACCCCGTCTGGCCTCCCGTCCTGCGCTGAGACCCTCCAGGTTGTCTCATTTAGAGCCGCCCACGCCTGTCCGGACTCCCCGCCCCGCGCAGCCCTCTCCAGCTCCAGCCCTGCCCCCTCCTTGACCACTGGGCGGTCGTTTGAGGTTCCGCACTTCCAAACGCGGGGTTCCTGCTGCCGCCTACTTTCTTGCAGGTTCCATCCCTGGGCCCCGCCGCCCTCCGGCGGTTTTGGGTCTCCTGGTGGTCAGGCTCCAGCGCCGGCAGTCCGCTCAGCCCCAGCTGCGGCTACTCAGGTCGAGGGGATTAAGCGCTCGTTCTCCTTTTTCCCCTCTGGAGGTTGCAGCTCTATGGAGAAGGAGAATGTCTGACGCTTTGAGATCTCGGGTGAAACCCTCAGCGCTTTCCAGGAGGCCCGCCCGCTGCGTTTGACTTGCTTTTGGCAGTGTCTTTAGTTTTTGATACTTTGTTGTACATGACTTTATGTGGTTTTCCATTTTCGCATTTGAGTCTCTCACCCAACTAGATTGAGAATTCCGGAGGTCAGGGATTTTTATTTCTCTTCGGCGTAGTGTTTTTTGTTTTTTTAAATTTTAAATCTCAAATATACAGCGATTCACAAAAATGAGCGAATAGTTAATTTTGGTTTTTCAGGATGGATGGAGGAAAGAAAATGAGGTGGGATGGTCACATTGTCAGAAAATCTCTAGGAACATATTAATTTAAAATGCCTGAGAATCTTTCACTTTTTTTTTCTTGCCTCTGGTTTGACTGGAGCCTTGGTGGTGCAGTGGTTAAGAGCTTGACTGCTAACTAAAAGGTTGGCAGTTCTAATCCACCAGCTGTTCCTTGGAAACTGTATGGGGCAGTTCTACCCTGTCCTATAAGATCGCTATGAGTTGGAATCAACTGGATGCCAAAGAGTTTAGTTTGGTCAGCTTTGACTAGGACAAGGTATTGCCACCACCAGAGGGCAGAGTGCTTATAGCTGAAAGGAAGAATGTTCTCTGCTCTTCCATGGTCCTTGAGGGAACCATTACCAGTGCAGGAAGTGATTTCTCCAAAGTCACAGGAGAAATTAGGGCCTGAGCTGGGACAGTTAACTGGCCCTTAATGAATATACATACTTTTTTTATTATCAAAGTTTTTTGTTGGGGTGAGTTCCTATCTACCAGGGACTACAACTATGTCTCAATATGTGCTATAGTAACTCCAGGGTAATAGCCATTATGCGAAATAGTCATACTTGGGCTTTGTTATGCATATAGATCATAATTAAGTCAGTGGAGAATGAGCCCAGAAAAACCCTGACAGTAGAGCCATTACTCTAGAAAGTTCCAGAGCTATGCAACCTGTAAGGCATCATCTATGAGCTGATGATGAAGCTCAAGGAGCTGGTGGAATGAAACAGCTCATTTTCTGCTCTTCTCAGCAAGATAACTATGGCTCCAATGCAGGAACCTGAAATTAGATCTTGTAAAATCCTTTCAGCTCCTAAAGTAAGTGAAAGGACCAGGAACTAGGGCAGTGGAGGATTAAGTAGAATTGGAGGGAATGGAAGCTTCTGGAATGGAAAGTAGCTGGGTTTAGAGGCCACCAGAGATGACAAAGAATATAATACAGATAAAAGGAAATGGGAAAACAATTCAAATCTTGAATGTTATTCAGATACCAGAAGTGAAGTGAAATTTCTCCCTTTGTGGGGGTAACTGCTTTAAACAATATCAGAAAGGTGAATCACTACTACTTGAGTAGAGATTGGTGTTTCAAGATGCCAAGAACAGCTTATGATATAGAAGTGAGCTGAGTTTATGGGAAGAAGTGGTTACAGTAACCTGTTACCCAGATTTGATATTGGAATGACATTTCTAGCAATGGCTTTGTCTGTGAGATTCTGGCAAATTTTTGTAGCAGACAGTTTTTTTGTTTTTTTAAAAAAATCTTTATTTATTTATTTATTTTAAATTGTACCTCAGGTGAAGGCTTACAGTACAAATAGTTTCTCATGAAACAGTAGTACACATATTGTTTTATGACATTGGTTAACAACCCCACAACATGTCAACTCTGTAACTTCTCAACTTTTTTTTGGTGAAAATACACATAGCCAAAGATACACCATTTCAAAAATTTCTACATGCACAGTTCAGTGACATTGACTATGTTCTTCCAATTGTGCTGT